CCAAACCCCTAATTCATTCATTCATCATTCATTCATTTTCTTTTCAGCTTAGTCCCCTTATTAATTCAGGACCGCCACGGTCCACCACCAACTCCTCCAGCACATTTCCACACAGCGGATACCCTTACAGCCGCAACCATCTCTAGGAAACAAATTAAACATTAAGAAATTATTAAAGAATATTAAAGAAAAGGACGAATGTCAAACTCCTAATTTAAACCTTTTGGAGACAATGTGTCTAAAGTGAAAATCCAAAAGGCTTCACGTTGCAACAGCAATTTATTAAAATTCATCTTTTCTGCTGTTCTTCCTTATAGACATCCATTGCATGTAAACTTATTTGAGTCTACTACAAACTGAGGGACAAGATGACCATTGTAAATCATTACTTGTCTTAAATGCTGTAAATTAAGGCCCAATCCCAATCTATTTTTTCGTAACTGTACTGTGCATTTACATCGTGGCCATATTTATCTGTGGAAACTCCAGAAAACAACATTAACGTTATACCAGACACTGTAAAAAGGTCATTCCCATCCACTAGACTTTTCTGACAGGCTATTTGAGTCATCAAGTGACAGATGTGAAAATATGTTGTGGGAATACTATACAGGTGTTAATATCATGACTGTAAAGTTATGAATGTATTAAAAAAGGGTGTCCAAACTCATTCCTGGAGGGTCTGTGTCCTGCAGATTTTAGCTTCAACTTGCCTCAACACACCTGCAAGGATGTTTCTAAAAAGCCTAGAAAGAGCTTGATTGGCTAGCCTTGGTGTGTCTGATTGGGGTTGAAACTAAACTTTGAAGGACACTGGCCCTCCAGGACCAATTTTGGACACCCCTGTATTAAAAAAATATGCTTGTTTGTTATAAAAAGTCTCAATAATGGCAAAAAAATACTTATTTGCACATCTGCTGACTCCCATAGGCAGCCATGTTGCGTTGTTGATGTTGTATTCTGGGAAATCTCCTTTCAAGGGCTATACACCCCTACCCCTTCATTGAAAACGAAGGAAGGTCAAAGGAAGGACTAAGGGGACGAATTATAATTAGATCCTGCCCATAAGCAACAAACCACTTTTTGGCCCTGGAAACAACAAAGAAAACAAAAGTAAAATATCACAAACAAAGTCTAATAATAACTTGAGGTCCCCTTTTTTTCTGGGGCAAAAGAGCTATTTTGAACACACTGCTAGATTAATGTAAGATAGATTTCACTATTTAACATATTTAAATTTAAATGTCTTCAAATTAAAAAAAAAATGTGATGGTCATGGTTATGGTCATATAAAGCATTTTTGATTGAGAAAAGACACCTTTTGTTATTATCTATATACTAAAATGGTATTTTTTCATTTGTTGCCTCGGGGCAACATTCTGCTGTTAGTATGTTATGGAAGGAAATGGGCAAATATCCTCTTAAGACCCAAAGATTTTTTTTTTTTTGTCTGTGATTTCCTACATCCTTTGGGTTTAAAAAATTCTACAATTTAGGGTTTTTACATTCTGTTTTTATTTTTAATTTTACAGCATGTCCACTGTAGTGGACCACAGGACCATTTTAGCAAAACAACCACCACTCAGACAACAAAACTGTACAGGATATGGCTGTAAAATGATATTATTATAAGATTAATGTAACAAAAACATTTTTTCCTTTTTTATTCAAATTTATGAAACAGTTAAGTCTAAAAGAGAGCCGAACTCAAAAAAAAAAAAAAAGTAATGTTAATCCAAAACAAGTTTAACAAAAATGATATAAAACTGATTGTCATTCTTTAATTGTCTCTAATTCTCTAATTGTCTGATTGTCAAACTTTAAATCAGAGTCCCTCAACTATTTTATAAACAATCATCTCTGCTTCAGTACTGCCTCCTACATCATGCAGTCATTAATTAAATTAAAATGGTCCTAATGTCCACTATACTGGACATTTAAAAAAGGATGATATTTTGAAACACAAACAAGTTAACAGCTTTGAAAGCTAAATGTGTTATTCCTGACACTTTAATAAACAAATATATGTGTTTAATAATAAAAGTAAAAAACATTTAAAAAGCTACATTTTATATGCCTTTCTCTTTCCAGTAAAATGTGCTTTTTTGTATGTAAGCCATTTTGGGTGCAGTGTAAGAAGGGGTTCCTAGCATGCCAGCCAATCAAATGACATATTACTAGAAAGCCCAGGATGCTCTCTGAACAGTACAAATTATAGTAACATTTCAAAGAAAATTCATGAAAACGCAATGTCCACTACAGAGGACACAAGTCAATGGGCAGGCTAGTAATCACCATACTATTAATATTATCTGCTATACTGTATTTTACTCACAGGAAATGGACGTTTAAGCATTATGTGTGGTTTATTCATTAAGTAATTTTGAGAGCATCACATGCTCATGATTGTGGCTGGTCCAGCATCAGCTTCACACCTCTACTCCTCCCCCTTCTCCTAATAGGGTGGCACTGTGGCCCAGTGGTTAGCACTGTTGCCTCACAACAAGAACAGTCGGCGTTTCTGCGTGGAAATTGCATGTTATCTCCTCGTGTGGGTTTTCACCGGGTTCTCAGGTTTCCACCCACCGTCCAAAGACATACAATATAAATAAAATGACTAATCCAAACTGGCATCATAGGACAAACTATATCTCTTAGCTTTGCCTAACACGTTCACAAGCAGGGGACTTTTTGATATTTACCTGAGCTCAAACTCCCCTGTCACCCTGTAAAAGCAGGGGAGCCCCTGACTCGAGGTTCTTATGAGCTCTGGCAGTCTCTCGGGACATCATGCCAAACACGCTTTATTATCAAGTATCAGTTAAGTGTGAACTCTTGAAATGAAGGTAAAGAACGGAATTGAGCAGTTTGGCTCATTTCCTCCAACAGCAAGCTTGAAGAGTCAAATTAGCTATGTTTCCATTTAAAGATGCGTTGGACTAGGGGTAGCATATTTTATGATTGATTATAAGGAACCCCCAAGCATCCAGAAATATGGGTGAAATATTTTTTTCCTCCTAAAACAACAATTCATGCCATGCAGGTTAAGTCCTCAAACATCTGTTTTCCAATTTTCCAACTTTAATGTAAAGTTTAAAGATATCATTAAAACAGATTTGTGGAAATTACAAAAGAATAACTGTATTTACATGCCAGTGACAGTCCAATAATAGAGAATGTTACTTTGTAATGAAACTCTAACATTTGTGAATGTAAGGTCCTTTCACACAAATTACTATAACTTTTCATTATAAATGTTGTACATTTTCATGTCCCACCTTTATTTAAACAGAAGTTTGGGGTTTTGATGGTCCGTTTGTTGAAATTAAGTTGCATCTGCATGCCAAATAATTCTCATTAGATTATAAGTAGACTGTTAGGTTTGGGTTAAGGTTAGGCTTAGGATAAGTGAGTCACCATGTACTTGGAAAGTTACTTATAGTCAGTTAAAAGTTGAAGGTGCGATTATCAGCAGATATTAGGTAAACAGTCTACTAATACTCAAATGAGAAGTAATTGGCATGTAGTTGCAATGCAACTTTTAGTAAACAAAATGTGCCACAGGGACCATCAAAATAAAGTCTTGCCAAGTTTGGAATAATACGTTTTAAAATGTGATTAGTGGATTTTTATTTTAAAACGTGAGTAAACTATTGCCTTAAAATGATTCAGTAAATTAATTATGTTTATAATTGTACAAATTAAGGTAAGTCAGCTTAGCAGTTTTAAGTTTTTTTAAGTTTTTTTCAACAGCAAGCATGAAGAGTCACATTAGCTATGTTTCCATTCAAATGCATTGGACGAGGGGGAGCAAATTTTATGATTGATTTATTATACCCCTAAGACACCCAAACACCCAGTAATATTTTTTTCCTCCTATAACAGCAATTTATGCCATGCGGGTTAAGTCCTTAAACATCTATTGATACTCAAATGAGAATTAATTCTACTAATTAATTCTATAGTCTACTACTTAAATGAGAATTTATTGGTATGTAGTTGCAATGCAACTTTTGGTCATTAAAATGTGCAATAGGGACCTTCAAATTAAATCTTACCAAGTGTTGTACATTTTAAAAAGTGATTAGTTGACTTTACTTAAAAAAGTGAGTAAACCTGTTGCCCTAAAATGATTGAGTAAATGAATTATGTGTATAATTGTGCAAGTTAAGTTAAGTCAACTTAGCAGTTTCAAGTTTTTGTAAGTAAAATAGAAACAAATAGCATTTTCTGCGTACTAGAAATCAGAATTTAGTGGGAATGGATCACTAGTCAGTTGCAGCAATGCTAAAATGTTATATTATTATTGTTGCAGCCAAAAGCACTGGCTCGCCGTACTTCATAAATTGAGAACTCTGCGTTGCCTCAGTCATTTTATGGAAACCAAAAATGGAAAAACATTCCTTTGAATGCCTCAGCAATTTTTGCCGTGCATCACACAGCATAAGGCTTATATCAACTGCTCTTTTGTTTTGTGTGAGCAGCGTTTGCAATTTCTCTGTAAAGATTTAATTGGTCTCATTGTGGAGTTTTACAGACTCTGAAAACATGCCAGAATTTTTTTTCCTCTTTCTTTTTCTATGAACACATTTCTGTGGCACTTTTTAAATTTATGTTAAATTGGGGGTGTTCAAGGGCGCAGGTCTGTGTGCTTTGGTTCCTGTCCCAGTAATTACGGTGTTGTTCTTTATGTAGTCTGCGGTTTATAAGTGATTTATCTCATTGATTTGTATTGTGGTATGTTTTGCGTTTGCTTGCTTATGAATTACTTGAAATAACATGAGTTATAGCTATCTGTTTTCTGGTATGCATTTTTACAGCATGAACTATTTGTAGAGATTATAAGCATGTGATACGGTCATTAAAGTGTGTTAATTTACAACCTAGTGCTTGACATTGCAGATGGAATATTTCAAAGCCTGTCAATGAAAAGATTTTCTTGTTTTTTTTTCTCCTTTGTGCTTTTTGTGTAACCCTTCTTTTTCTCTTTTCTTATCAAGCATGGTGTCATAACCACAGAGGATGAGCAATATTTAATAGAGCCATTAAAAAACATATCCAGAAATTTCAGTGATGTCAACCACGAAGGACAACCACATGTTATTTATAAAAAGACATCTATTCCTTCTCCACAAGAGCCGAGCAAGGAGTTCAGCTGTGGTGTTTCAGGTTGGTAAACCTCCATTTGGCCACACTGTGACATAAAAAGCTATAGATAGGAGTTTAGGAAATGATGGTTAGTGGTTCAGGTTTGGCTAGAAATCTTTGCAAACAGACTTTGCATAAATGCTGAGTGAAGATCTGTTCTGAAGTACTACATTTTTGGTATGGATAGAACTGCACCATATAGAAATCTGATATGACATATGACATACAAGTTCATATTTGTATGTCATATATGCAACATTTACTTATATCTATTTTAACTTATATATTTTTATACTATATTTTGTACTACATACTATTTTATACTATACTGTGAAATTATACAATTTCACCAAATATTTTGGGAAGAATTGATCATTTTAGATTGATTGGGATGATTCTGTAGGAGAGTGTATCTGCATCCAAAGGCTAGTTTGATTTCCAGTGAAGCAAAATATGACGCTTAACTAATAATGAGGTAAAGGCCAAAATATCAAATTGTTTAGAACTGAACTGGGACCAAATATTTTGGAACCCCAAAAATGGCTATATAAGGGGATGGGTCTATGTGTACCTGCAACACCTTAGACAAAATTGTAAAATAATTAATCCAGTAATTCCGTATCATAGGGCACTAAAAGAACATATAACTTAAACTACACTTGGTGCATGACATCTGTCACATCTGTCATCAATATTAGGAAAAATTTCAGAGAGCCTTGTTTTTGAGAAATCGATTCTATGTCATGTATGTAATTTGCATTAATAATCCATTGATCCGATTTCTATACGGGGCGAATGAATTCGTTTTTTTTTTTTTTTTGTTTGTTTGTTTTCTCCAGACCTCACAGTGAACAGAACACAATTCTACAATACCAATCCTAAATTAAACCCAGACTTCCCAGTCCTAGGTGTCGACAGTTTAATGGGTGCCCACCGTCAGCGCCGTTCTGTCAGTTCTGAACGCTTTGTGGAAACTCTAGTCGTGGCTGACAAAATGATGGTTGGCTACCACGGGCGCAAAGACATTGAGCACTACATACTGTCTGTTATGAACATTGTAAGTTTGGTCCTGCTTTTCTCATGCAGTGTTCATTACAAATGTGTGTGTCGTCCTATATTAATGGTAAATCTGAAGATCTCAAACGGCATTTGGCTGACTTTGTGTCTTTTCTTCTTTTCTGGAGGTCAGGTTGCCAAACTTTACCGTGATGCCAGTCTTGGAAACGTTGTGAACATAATTGTAACTCGACTGATTGTTCTGACAGAAGATCAGGTGAGTGCTTTTATTTACTATGTAGGTGGTTCAGAAATCTTAGTTTGTGTACATGCTAGGCCTGTTTAGCTTAATTAAAACAAATTCTAGTGTGATTGCTCTGTTAGGTCAGTGTATTTAATAAATCAATTAAAATAAAACAACGTTGTACTGATGAAAGAAATTATCATTTTAGAGTTTTGAATAACCTTATTAATATATATTAGGGGTGTGACAAGACACTCCACAAGACGAGGCAAGTCACTTTACGAGAACGAGACGCGATGAGACGAGATTTTTATACTATTTTTTTAATTCTCAGTGATGAAATATATGAATGGAAAAAAGTCAGCAAAACTATTCAGGTGCTTTTTAAATAAGTTTGTAGTGAATGTTATGTTACTTCTATTTTAATGAATAATGCCATAAAGGACATACAAACACTGCAAGTATTTTTTATAAACTCTACTGACCGGACAAACTCTGGATGTGAGGACTGAAAGGACATAAATGATGATGATGATGATGACAGGTGTGTGTGTCTATAGGAGTTCACTGTGTAGAGATTTGTGTGCTTGTGGTGCTTTACTGACTTGGTAGGTGCTGGTAATTGTATCAAACAGCTGTGTATGCATGGCTTATACTGTTGCAAAATGCGTCTAAAAGTTGTACTTGACAGTAATAGTTTGATTAGGGAGTTTACATGTCTGTACTGCACTTCAATAATACAACTAAAATAGGAATATTTCATGCCTCAACTCGACATTTGTGACTTTAAGCATATCTAAAGTGCTATTCCATCGCATGGTTAATTTGTGTACTGCAGTTGTAGCAGCATCTGCTCTTATACTTGTTTATGGTTATTTCTCACCCGCCCAAGCAAAGTCTTGTGAAATCGTGCTATCCGAGATTCGTATATATATATATATATATATATATATATATATACAGTTGAAGTCAAAATTAGCCACCCTGTTAATTTTTTCCCCTATTTTATGTTAAACGGAGAGAAGATTTTTTTTTCAACACATTTCTAAACATAATAGTTTTAATAACTAATTTCTAATAACTGGTTTCATTTAATCTTTGCCATGATGACAGTAAATAATATTTTACTAGATATTTTTCAAGACACTTCTATGCAGCTTAAAGTGACATTTAAAAGCTTAACTAGGTTAATTAGGTTCACTGGGCAGGTTCAATATTTAGGGTAATTAGGCAAGTTATTGTACAACGATGGTTTGTTCTGTAGACTATCGGAAAAAAAAACAGCTTAAAGGGGCTAAGAATTCTGACCTTATAATGGCTTTTATTTTAGCTGAAATAAAACAAATAAGACTTTCTCCAGAAGAAAAAATATTATCAGACATACTGTAAAAATTTCCTTGTTCTAATGAACATCATTTGGGAAATATTTAAAAAAGAAAAAAAATTAAAAGGGGGGCTAACAATTCTGGCTTCAAATATATATTTATTACACTACACTTAGATAGTTTAATCACAGTTACACTAACCATAGATTGTTTAATCATGTTCATATAGTGTGACTTACAAATGAGGACAAGGAAGCAATTTACACAACTATAAGAGCAATAATGAATAAGTGCTGTAGGCAAGTTTCAGGTGTGTCAAGTCTAAAAAGAAAAGCATTAGTAATGTTTTTTTTTTTTTTTTTTTTTTTTTAGTACAGTTAGTGGTATAGCCAGAAAGGCAATTGCAGACTAGGAAGTGAAGTATAGACTAAATAGTTGAGTTTTTAGTCGTTTCTTGGAGACAGCAAGTGACTCTGCCTTTCTGATGCAGTTAGGGAGTTCATTCCACCAACTGGGTAGATTGAATGCGAGAGTTCAGGAAAGTGATTTCTTCCCTCTTTGGGATGGAACCATGAGGTGACGTTCATTCACTGGACGCAAGTTTCTGGAGGGCACATACATCTGCAGAAGTGAGAGCAGATAAGAAGGGGCAAAGCCAGAGGTCGCTTTGTAGGCAAACATCAGAGCTTTGAATTTGATGCGAGCAGCAACTGGCAGCCAGTGCATATGGGTGAGTAGCGGAGTGACGTGTACTCTTTTAGGTTCATTAAAGACTACTCATGCTGCTGCGTTCTGGAGTAGCTGAAGAGGTTTGATAGAGTTAGCTGGAAGCCCCGCTAGTAGAGAGTTGCAGTAATCCAATCTAGAGAGAACAAGAGCTTGAACAAGGAGTTGAGCTGCATGTTCAGATAGGTAGGGTCGGACCTTTCTGATGTTATAGAGTGCGAATGTGCAAGATCGAGCAGTTCTAGAAATGTGGTCAGAGAAGTTTAGTTGGTCATCAATCGTTACTCCAAGGCTTTTCACCATTTTTGATGCAGTAATGGTTGCCTCATCCATCTGGAGTGAAAAGTTATGGTGTAAAGTCGGGTTGGCAGAAACATTAAGTATTTCCGTTTTCGCAAGGTTAAGCTGAAGATGATGATCTTTCATCCAGTGTGAAATGTCCGACAGGTAGGCTAAGATGCAACGTGAAACCGAGGGATCGTCAGGGTGAAAAGTGCGGTATAGCTGGGTATCATCAGCTTAGCAGTGGTAGGAAAATCCATGTTTCTGGATGACTGGTCCTAGAAATGTTGTGTAGATGGAGAAGAGAAGTGGCCCAAGAACAGAGCCTTGCTGTACCCCAGTGTTTAAATGCTGTAGGTTGGACACCTCTCCCCTCCAAGACACCCTGAATGACCTGTCAGAGAGGTAAGATCTGAACCATTGAATAACAGTGCCTGCAGCGCCCAGTGACTCAAGCGTAGATATCAGAATCTGGTGGTTTACAGTGTCAAAAGCAGCTGATAAATCCAGCAAGATGAGGACCGATGATTTAGAGTCTGCTTTAGCCAGTCTGAGATCCTCCACGACCGAGAGCAGGGCAGTCTCAGTTGAGTGGACTTTCTTAAAGCCAGATTGCTTGTTGTCCATGAGGTTGTTTTGAGTAAGAAAGTCCAGGACTTGATTGAACACTACTTTCTCCAGAATCTTGGCCATGAATGGAAGCAGGGATACTGATCTGTAGTTTTCAAGTAGCATTTGGTCCAGGTTGGGTTTCTTTAGCAGTGGGGTTACCCTAGCCTGCTTAAATGAGGTGGGGAATAAACCAGAGTCAAGAGATGTGGTAATTATGTGGGTCAGTGTTGGTATGACTGCAGGAGAGATGGCTTGCAAGAGATGAGAGGGAATGGGATCAAGTGGACAGGTGGTTGCATGGCTAGATAGAGTTTGGACACCTCAGACTCAGAGAGCTGAGAAAAAAAGGGTAAGTGTGTGTGGTGTTGGTGGTGTATCTTGCGTGTTTGTTGTAGGTGCAGCAAATTGAGCTCTGATTTTTTCAGTTTTGGTGCAAAAGACTGTGGCAAAGTCATCAGTAAGTGTGGAGGATGCGGGTGGAGGAGGGGGATAGAGGAGGGAGAAAAATGTTTTAAAAAGTAGGCGAGGATTGGTTTCATTGTTTATTTTCTGGCGGAAGTATGTCTGCTTTGCAGAAGTAACCTCAGCCGAGAAAGAAGACAGAAGAGTTTGGTATGTTATGAGCTGTTCAGGATTTTTAGTTTTTCACCAAATTGTCTATGCAGCCCGAAGTTTTGAGCGATGCTCACGAAGAACATCCGAGAGCCAGGGTGCAGGAGGACTGGCACGGGCTGGCCAGGATATAAGAGGACATAGTTTGTCTAGACATGATGCTAGTGTGGAGCAGAGTGTATCAGTGGCACTGTTCGTATCAAGTGCAGAACGTTTGCAAGATGGAGGAAGAGGAACTACCTGAATTCTGTAACTACTTGAATAGCCATATCTGTCCTTTTGACCATAATTTTTTTTTTTCACATCATATTTACATTCAAAGCTTTTTTTGAGGTTGCAGAATAAAGCTTTGTATGTCTGTCGTCATATTTTATAAAGCCATTACCATATAAAATATAATATTTTTTGTAATATAGCTTATAATTGTGTACGAGTTGCTAGACTGCTTCTGAAGGTGCATACCTTATTCTTTACCGCAATCATAAATGAACGAAAAACAAATGTTGGTTTTGGAAGATTTAAAAGACATGTCTAAAGTAAAGTTATTTTTTTTTTTTGCTATCAGTAAGTTTTTGTTAGCTAGGCAGTAGAGAAAAGCATATTCAAAGGCAGGTAGTATAGTGCACTATTATGGCCAATCAAGACAGAAATACTCACAACTCAGAATAGTGTTTTGTCATTTTAATAAAATGACAGTTTTAGAATCAAATATACACACATTTAAGACATGTCAGTGGATGGTTTTATATGGGTTTTATTGGGCTTATTCTTTGTGTACGAGCAGCCATTTGAATCTTTTTGGCTCAAGACCTTTGATCTCATTCACTTCTATAGATTTTTAGACGTTAAAAACAGCTTGTTCTGCTGATTGATGTTGCAAACTGATATTTTCTTATTATATTATTCTGCTTTGGTGACGCGGTGGTGCAGTGGGTAGCATGTTTGCCTCACAGTAAGAAGGTCGCTGGTTCGAGTCAGTAGGCGTTTCTGTGTAAAGTTTGCTTGTTCTCCCTGTGTTTGCATTGGTTTCCTCCGAGTGCTCTGGTTTCCCCCACAAGTCCAAAGATGTGGTACAGGTGAATTGGTTATGCTAAAATTGACTATAGTGTATGAGTGTGTGTGTGTGTGTGTGTGTGTGTGTGTGTGTGTGAATGAGCATGTATGGGAGTTTCCCAGTGATGGGTTGCAGATAGATGGGCATCCACTGCCTAAAACATATGCTGGATAAGTTGGTGGTTTGTTCTGCTGTGGCGACCCCTGATAAATAAAAGCATTAAGCCGAAATTTTTTTTTATTAATTTATTATTCTGCTTTGTCTCTATTGTTTGTAGAGCAATAAGTTTGACCGTTGTCTGCCATTTATTATTCCTAATTATTTCTCACATAGGCAGCTTAATTAGTAGTTCTAAAACAATCGCAAAACAAGCGCACTTCTGCAATTTAGAATAAGGTCAATATTATTTAAATACAAAATGTAAAAACAATCAAGGTGACTGCCTCAGCTTAAATGTTTGACCTATTTACTGTATTGTTCTACAAAAAAAAAAAAAAAAAAAAGATTTTAAAACAGTCTATGGTGTCCAGCTGCTCTCTGGCTTAACTAAAGTTCATTGTATTTCAGTGGTACTTCCTAAGACAAGACTAGGGTGACGTTTTCTCCCTAATTTCACGCAAACACATGCTATTCATTGTGCTAGTCTTTTGTCTGCATTAGCATGAAATGAGTGTGAGCTGAGAGTATTTTTAGAAGCTAAAAACACATCTCACAGTAGTCTGCTGTTTTATTAGCCTGAGTAAGACAGATGGAATCATGAATCGTCTGACCACTTTTAAAGATTAAACCTTATTCATACAAATATGCCTAGACGTTGTCCCTCGAGGAAACTTTGTCAGATTTTATGTTAATGTCTTTAATGAGAGAGCCTGGGCATTTGTCTTTGTTTTCTTCTTTTAGTTTTTTTTAGTTCTTGGAAGAGTCAAATAACTCTTCTCAGACTGGGAAGTCAACCAAAAGATCAAACTACCTCTCAGATGATGTCATTAGAGCTACAATTCACACTGTACCAGCCAAATTATATATATTACATGTTTATAAAATAATAACTTAACAAACTGGTGTCCTTTATTGTATTGTGACTTCATTTCAAATGATCATGCAGCAGATTGAGTTATCTGGAACAATGTTTGATATGTTATGTTGGTTTTCTGTGTTACAGCCCAACTTGGAGATAAACCATCATGCAGACAAATCTCTAGACAGCTTCTGTAAATGGCAGAAATCCATTCTTTCTCATCAGGGAGATGGAAACAGTATCCCGGAGAACGGGATCGCCCATCACGACAATGCTGTTCTCATTACAAGGTTAGTTCCTATTATTTCCATTAAAAGTAGTTAAAGGTTGAGTTTGGGGATAAGTTTGTTGGAAATGAAAACCAAAATGTCGATATAGGAACAAATCCTGCTTGGTCACCAACATATGATTTGTTTAAATTCAAGCTTGATGAACTCAAACACTCATTTAGCCAATATTTGATTGATAAGATTAGTGTTTGCCTTCTATAACCCAAAAAGTGTTAGTTGTATTCACGCTTCAGTTGTTAAGATGCAAAGATTTCCTGTTGAACAATACAAAATAAAGTGAAAGCTGACATTTGATGATGTAAATCCACTATTTTTCATGATTCATAGGTTTATATAGGTCAAAAGGATAGTTCACCCAAAAATGAAAATTTACACACAATTTAATCAAACTCAAATGGTTCAAAACTTGCATTCTTTTTTTTCTGTTGGAAGAAAAGTAGCCATTTTTTTACATTCTTCAGAGTATCTTGTTTTTGTTGTCAACAATACAATAAACAACAACAACACTTGAGTTTAATTAAATAGAGAGTAAGTTTTTATCAATTGAATGAACTATCCCTTTGCTATGCAAACGGTATACACAGCTAGCAAAATTCATGGGGCTCAAATCTGGCCTACACCAAACACTTACATACGGCCCACATACCGCATGGAATGATGGTACTTGGTGGTGCGCTCCTGTTTGCCAGATTTGGGCCACAATTAAGTCATAGCAATCCCACATATCAACCAGAATTTAACCAAATGAACCAGAACTAACCCTATTCTTGGCCACAATTTGCTTTTATTCCGGCCCAGATCCGGCAATCACCAGACACTTACATCTGGACCACATACTGAATGGAATTATGGCTCTAGGGTGGTCTGCTCCTGTTTGCCAGATCTGGGCCACAAACTAGCCATTACTACCATATCTGCCATGTCAAAGAGCTATGGTTTGACCCCTATAATTATTAAATGATCACTGTACTTTATCTTTACCAAAAGTGACCGATCATATGTTTTAGGAGAACAGTACAATACTTGCCACATCTTACCTCAACTGCTTACACCCTCTTTAGCCAGAGATACTCGCCCATATTTGCCATATCTCATCTGGGCCACTATAGGCTTACAGCCACATCAGCCAGAGCTTACTGTGCGGAATATTTGGCAAAAGTGGTCCACATATGTTTTAAGATAACTGGGCCACATTTGCCATATCTTCTCTGGGCCACTTTAGGCTCATAGCCACATTAGCCAGAGCTTACTATACCTAATATTTAAAGTGTTACACATATTTTTTAAAATAACTGGGCCACATTTGCACCTACACATGTGAGCCAATTTGGGTTTAGACCCAGATTACCCTTAAATTACTGCCACATTTTTGCCAACTGTGGCTCACATTTGTCCTCTGTCATTTGGCCCAAATTTACCATTTTTTACATGGGCAAAATTAGGCTCACATTACAGATTACATTTTGCCATAAGTGACATATATGTGTCCATATATGAATTGGAATCTATGCCTCCCTTTTAATATTGTACAGGTTGGGCCACTTAATGCCTAGTTCACACTAAAGGATTTTAAGCCTGATTTGAGCCCGATTTGGAAGTTAACGAGCTCGCCGACAGATCGGGCTGTAATCGGCAAGAAATCTGCGGGTGCTCGGCTCTCGCCGCTCTTTATGTGTGAACTACTGAACAACGCATCAACGAGGCTCGCTGACGCGTCGCCGACACCTCGCAGACAGAAATCCAACATTTAGCATGCTGAATATTCCAGAGCAGTCGGCCGACTTAACCCCACGTGTGATCAGATGTTGTGACGAGCTACAGCCAATGAGAGAGCATATCAGCATGAGCTGAATGCCTGTGTGTTCAGGAGCTCAGCAGAAACATCTGTGATTGGTCAGAATGGGCATCGGTGCACTTGCTTCATTCTGCATTAGTACAGACATGAGAGTAGGCTATATTAACAGTGGAACTAGAATTCTGTAACTATTAGAATTACCATACTGCTCATTCTGACCGTTCTCATATAAAACACCATATTGTCACAACATATTTACATTCAAAGCTATTATTGAGATATGAAAATTAAGCTTTGAATGTCTGGCATCATATTTAATGACACCATTACCCTAAAAAGATAATATATCTTTGGTAATACAGCCTATAAATATGTAGTTAAGATACTAAAACACTTAAAGGTCTTGGCTTTCATTTTCACTTTCAAACAGGAGCTATTTCACTGCACAGAATATGCTGTTTTGAAAGATATCTGAAGTAAATTGATGTTTTTGCCATCAGAAAGTTTTGTTCATGTTAGCAGGAAGTTGTTAGGCAAGAAAATGCACACATATTTAAAGTCACAGTGAAAAGTATCAGACATGCATGCAGTCATTTTGACCAATATGGTAATTTAAAGCAGAAATGCTCAGTTCCCCTTCGGGGGGAACTTCAGCACTATAAGTGGATTTGATTGTAAAATCCACGCATTGGGAGGTTCGGTTCAGAAGCTACTCGTCTGAAAGAGTATTGAACGGGCCAATTAAGAATGAATTGGCAGCGCAAGCCTGCGCAGGTGAGCGGCATAAGCAATCAACTGAGTATATAAGCTCACCTGGCGCAGCAGACGCTATCCTTTTCGCTTCAGAGACTTTCTGATCGAGTCGATGAGGGTTCCTCCTGCTGTGACCAGCGATTCTGAGCGAACGAGAGCATTCTCCCGGTCCAGAGTGTGTACACGCAGTGGCAGACGGTCGAGCTGGGTTTCTCCCTTGCCTGGCGTTCTTTGGGTCCGGTCCTCCAGAGCGGTGCGTATAAAGTTGCAAACTTCACAGAAAGAGCAACACAGTCGTGCAGCACGTCCTTATCAGGACGGCGCTCCGACTGTGCGTTTCTGGATGCGGTGGTTTCCTGTCCTCGGATGATGGGCGCGGGCACTGTGTTACATGTCTGGGGGTCCAGCATGTTAATGCGCTGCTCGCGGGCAGTTCATGTCGTCATCGCGATGCCATGACTGTTGCGCAAGATCGCGGTTAGCCTTTGCAAAAAGGCGAACCACCCCAGTTGTCCCCTGCTCTGCAGCGGGCACTCGGGCAGATCTGAGGGTTTCAGCGAGAGATAATCCGTCGCCCACGGGCCCGCGGACCTCCCGCTCCTCTAAGCGCTCCATCCAAGCTTCGGGCGGAGGAAGCGATCCGTCTAACAGATGGTAGCCCTTACGCCCGATGACACCGGAGACCAGATGTCCACCGCGGCATCGGAGGGTGGGCTTTCATTGTCCGATGATGATCCAGACCCGCTCGCCCCCTTCGGGCTGGTGAGCGCTGTCACTACGGATCCTGAAACGGACATGTTAGCCGTGCTTTCCCGGGCTGCTTCGGCCGTGGGTTGGAGATGGTTTATCCCCCAGCTCCGCGGCCGGACCGACTAGAGGGGCGTTCCCTTCTTCCGGGAGGTGCACAGTAGGCTCACGCGGTCTTGTAAAGCACTTTTTTCTGCTCGTGCTGCGTGTTCCTCCACCCTAACCACTCTTGACGGTGAAACAGCCAGGGGGTATGTGGCGATTCCTCAGGTTGAGTGCGCGATGGCGGTAAATCCGCGCGGCGCCTCTTCTTGGCGGGGTCCGCCTCGTCTCCCATCCAAAGCCTGTAAGTTATCTACCTCCCTCGGAGCTAGAGCTTACATAGCTGCGGGCCAGGCTGCTTCCGCCTTGCATGCGATAGCCACCTACCAGCGCTACCAAGCGCAGGCGCTGGCCGAGCTGCACGAGGGTGGGTCCAACCCAGGCTTACGAGCTTCGCACCGCCGCCGACTTAGCTCTTCGGACTACTGAGTCCGCTGCGTGTGCGTTGGGGAGGACGATGTCCACATTAGTGGTCCAGGAGCGCCACCCCTGGCTGATATGCGCAAAGTCGACAAAGTCCGCTTTCTTGACTTCCCCATATCCCCAGCCAGGTTCGGCGACACTGTCTGTGAATTCACCCAGGAATTCAAGGCGGTGAGAGAGCAGTTGGTGGGTGATGTCTTATCGGCGGTCCGTAGCCCGCTCCGCCCGCCGTGCCATTCATACCTGCTCCTCGCCGAAGGCGCCCGCCTACGAGAGCTGCTCCGCCCCCGCACACGCCTAAGGCGAAGCGAGCGCGTCGGGCACCTCGGAAGCAGGCAGCCCCCCTGCCCAGAACGCCGCTAAGTCCGGCAACGGACCGCGAAGCGCCCCTGGGACAGGCCATCTGGAGAAGAGGGAACTTGCTCTTTCCCCGCTGGAGGGCGGGGCCCCATTTCCAACGGCACTTTTTACTGCCATGAAAACATTATGAGAGGGCACTTTTCACTTCCCCAGATGTGACAGCCCGAAATCTGCCAGTCTGGGACGCTATGCTTTCTAGCTTGCAGATTCGGTGCGTTTCGCCAGTGGCTCACGAGCGCTGGGAGGACGGTCTCCTTTCTCCCACCCCTCGAGCCTCCCCTCCGGAGCTCGGGTTTGGAGTGAGAGCAAATATCTCACCTCCAGCTTTTCCGTGGGACCCGCGAGCTTCCCGGATCAGCACACCCACTCCGCGCTGCCCCACTGCTGGTACGTCAGCGATTGTAGCGATGAGTCCATTAGCGAGAGCTCTGCCTGCCTGGTTAGCGCGGGCCAGCTCTTCGCGGTGGCTCATACGCACAATCAGACTCGGCTATGCGATTCAGTTCGCGAAACGGCCCCCCAAGTCACGGGTGTGTATTCACCAGGGTCAGCCCCCTGTCCGCCCCTGTCTTGCGAGAGGAGATTGCTGTCCTCCTGGCGAAGGATGCAATCGAGCCGCTCCCTCCAGCCGAGATGGAGAGCGGGTTTTACAGCCCACGCTTCATCGTGCCCAAAAAGAGCGGTGGGTCACGGCCAATCCTAGATCTGCGCGTTTTGAACCGCTGCCTGCACAAGCTGCCGTTCAGAATGCTCACGCAGAAGCGCATCCTCCGGTGCGTTCGTCCTCTGGGTTGGTCTGCAGCATTAGACCTGATGGACG